AGAACCGGGGATTGAACTCAGGCCCTTGCACTTGGCCAGGGAAGCACTTATTCAACTGAGCCATCTCCCTGGCCCCTCTCATCATTCTTTAAATGTTAATTAATACTAAGCACATGATAAAACCCTTAGAGTTTTTCTTCAACTAAGAAACCGTGAGATTGTCAGTCACAGAAAGTGAACATTGTCAGCCAGGCGCACACCTATAACCCCAGCACTTCGGAGGTTGAGGCAGGAGGATTGTTGTGAGTTCAAGACCAGCCTGAGTTACAAAGTGAGCTCAAGGCCAGCCTGAGCTACACAGTGAAAACGACTCAAAAAGACCAAAAAAAAAAAAAAGAGAGAGAGAGAAAGCAAACGTTGTCAAAACACGACTAAACTGCATGTCATGTTAGTGCTAGGGTTAGCCACTGTATCTAGCCCACCCAGGAAGTTTTAGGAAACAAAACCTAAAATGCACACTCAGTGGATCCATTTTGGGGCCAGCCGGGGCTACGTAGTGAGTTCAAAGCCAGCATGGACTATATAGTGAGACCTTGTCTCAAAAAATCAAAACAAAACAACCTAAAAGACAGTACTAAATCATCTCACTACATTTGCCATGTATTATTCCTCTAAGGGAGAGTAGAAACCTTTCCTAAAAGTGTTTGTTTCTTTGTTTATATATTTAATACAGGGTCTGCAGGCTCTCACTACACAGATTTGTAGTGGTCCTTCCTGTTCTTCAGCCTCCCAAGCACTGGGATTACAGGGGTGCACCACCACACCCAGTCTTAATCACTGTCTCAGTGAGCCCCCCAGGACAGATCCAGCATGGCAGGCTGGGGATCAAACACCTGGTCCCTGCGTCTGCCTAAGCAGGCACGTTAGTCCGCAAAGCTATCTGGCCAGCCCTCCTAAAAGTGTTTTTATGTGTTGTGTCACATCTTTTGCTCATGCCTAATTTCACAGAAACACTTAACTCATACCATATCTGTCCTCAGAAGTGAAAAAAAATCTGTGAAGAAAGCCTATAAT